AAAGTAGGCTGTTAAAACCCCCAGTTATCATTGTAATGGACTCTAATAATATTTGCTTTATACATTTGGGTGCTCTGGTGCTGGTGCATATATCTACATGTAAATTTCTTACATTCTTGTGCTAAATTGATCTCTTTATCATTATGTAATAATCTTCCTTGTCTCTTTTTATGTTTTATGACTTAATGTTTATTTTATCTAAGTTTAACTACTCCTGCACACTTTTGGTTTCTCTTGATGTGGAATATCTTTTCCTATCTCTTCACTTTCAGTCTGTGTGCCTCCTTACAGGCAAAGTTAGTTTCTTTTAGGCAGCAAATATTTGTCTTTTAAAAAAAAATCCATTCAGGCAGTCTACATCTTTTAACTGGGAAATTTCAGCTATTTCCATTCAAGATTATTACTGATAGGTGAGGAGTTACTCCCAGGATTTTGTTTGTGTTTTCTGGTTTTTCATATCCTTTGTTCCTTTCTTCCCCTTTTATTGTTTACCACTCTGATTTGGTGATCTGGTATAGTGTTAACATTTGATTTCAGTCTCTTTCTCATTTTTGTATTTGTTCTACCATTGAGCTTTATATATTGTGTATTTTCATGAGGGTAAATATCATCCTTTTACTTCCAGATGTAGAACTCCCCTGAGAATTTTTGTAGGGCTTGTCTGGTGGTGATTAATTTCCTGTTTTTGCTTATTTCGAAAAAACTTTATTTCTCCTTCATTTTTTGAAGATAGCTTTGTTGGGTAAGGTATATTGACTGCCTGGTCTTTTTCTTTCTACATTTTTAATGTATCATTCTATTTTCTTGTGGCCTACAAAGTTTCTGCTGGGAAATATCCGTTATTCTGATAGGGATTCCTTTGTATGTGATTTGATACTTTTGATGTTTTTAGAACTTGCTGTCTGTCTTTGACTTTTGATAGTTTGAGTGCTATATGCCTTGGAGAAGACCTCTTTGGATTGAATCTATCTGGGGTCTTTAAGCTTATTGTATCTGTGTTTCTATATCTCTTGCATGACTTGAGAAGTTTCCAGTTATTATTTCATTAAATGGATTTTCTATGACTTTGTCCATTTCTTCTGCATCTGAAACTCCCAAATTAAAAAATATATATATAGTTGTTTTACGGAGTTCTATATTTCACATACGCTTTCTTCCTTTATTTATTTTTCTTTCTCCAAATGGGTTATTTGAGAAGACCTGTCTTCAAGTTCAGAAATTCTTTCTTCTGCTTGATCGAGTCTCCTGTTGAAGCTCGTGATTGTGTTCTTTCGATTGATTTTTTGAATTCTTAAGTTCCAGGATTCCTGTTTGGTTCTTTTAGAATTATATTTATCTCTTTGTTAAATTTCTCATTCAAATCATGACTTTTCTGTCTGATTTCTTTGTGTTGTTTTTCTGTGTTCCCTTGTATCACAGTTTTAAACATTTCCTTCTTTAACAGATATATGTATAGTGTTGGTTGAGTAGGGCACTTTGCCTTTGATTTGTGGTGGGTACAGGAGTGTAGTCTTTATATGATTTCTCTGGCTGTAATCAATGTCAGTAGTGTCTGTTCATTCCTTATAGGCTTAACCTCAGTTGTCAGTAGAGACTATAGCAAGGTTTTGTTGCAGATGGAAATGCAAGGTGGACTGGTCTTCAGTTACCAGTGGTGGCAGCAGCAGGCAAGGCATGCTGGTCCTTGGGCTCCAGTGCAGTGTACATGGGCACCAGCGGTGGTAGATCTGAGTGAGTCAGTCCTTAGGCCTCCTGGCAGCATGCTCAGGTGCTGTGGTATCAGCAGAGGGCTAGGCAGGCAGGTCTTTTGGATCCTTACAGCATGCATGGCATTGGTGGTGGCAGTAGTGGTGGCAGCTCAACCCTCAGGCCCTTGAGTAGCATACAGAGGCAGCAGCAGTGGTGATAGCAGGCTGTTCCCCAGGCTCCCGAGTGGTGTGTAGGGGTGGGCACCAGCAAGGTGGTGGCAGTCTGGGGCTGGCCAGCCTTTGGGCTGCTGGGAAGCACACGTCAGCACCAGCACTGGGCAAGGTAGGCTTGTCGCTATGCCTCTGGATGGTATGTGCATGGTGATGGGAGGCAGGGTGGGTTTGTCCCCATGCTCCTGAGTAGTGTGCACTGGCAGCAGTGGCAGGCAGACCACGCCCATCTTCAGGCTGTCCAAAGGTGTGCAAGGGCTCTGGCAGTGGTGGTCAGGGAGGGTCTGTCCTCAGGCCCCTGGACTATAGGTACAAGTAGTGGTGGGTGGAGCATGTCAATCTCTGGGCCCCCAGACAGTGAGCTCAGGACCATCAATGATGGTTGTAAGCAGGTCAGGAATATCCTCAGGCCCTTAAAGGCATGGGCTGGTAGTAGTGGCAATGGGTAGGGCAGGCCTATTCTTAGACCCCAGGATGGCAGGCTGATCCCCAGTCCCCCTGAAGGCACGTGTAAGTATATGGCATCCCCGCTGCTGCTGGACGAGGAGGAGTTGCTGTCAAACGCAGCAGTCCTGTCAGGCAGCTCTCAGGCTCCGGGAAGCACAAACTTTGGCTGCCTTTCTCCTGAAGAAAGGCTCCCTGGTATGCCACGCTGCCTATTCCCCAGGGATGCAGCATACTGTGTGGCACACTAGAGTGCTATGCACCTAGGCACTGCTGGGCCCAGCTGGCGTCACAATGCTGCAACCTTCCAGGTGGACATGGGGGGGATGTCAGTCAGGCTTCAAGGATGTTGGGATTCAGGAGTTGCTGGGCCCCAGGAGAGCATGTCGTCTGGTAGGAGTTGGGCTCCCACAATGGCGTGGTGATGCAGCTGCTTGTTTCCTGTGGAATACACCGGACCCAGTACCAACTTGTTGGTAACTTGCAACAGTGCCATCGTGTGGACTCCAGGTAGCTCCCAATGTTAGTCTCAGGGGAGCTGAGGGGCTCTCCCGTGGCTAGGATTGCAGGAGTCTGCAGGGGAATGTGGATCGCTGAGGATCTCTCACTTACTTTTTCCCCCAAATAGGGAGCTCCTCCTGGCTCTGAGCTAATCTTGGCTGAGCTGGCTGCTTTGTGGTGGAGGCGAATGCTGGCCTCTGGTCAGTCATGTTCCTCCCTTCCCTTACTGTAACGGACACCTCTCAAAACACAAGTTTGTTCTGGAATCACTTGAAAAGAGTAACTGAAATTACGGAAGGTTTCTGGGGCATGCAATTATGCCAGGACAGAAAGACTGAGTTGTCACTGCCTATCCTAGTATTAAAGATAGAGTGACAGACTTTCTGTAAGTAAGAGGGCAAATGATACATGCCACTTTCACTAGTCTATGCTGCCAATGAAGACGGGTGGTTTCCCTTTTCTTTTAAAAAAGGCAAATATTTACTATCCTAGTTATTGTGAAAATATTTCACTTTCTGCTGTCCCAGTACAGCTTTATTTGATTGCAAAGCCTTATGTGCTCCTCCCCAAGGAAGGAAATAATGAACAGATCTTTCTTTTCTTCATTATGTATATAACTAACTCTGTTAGAAATGACTTACACATATGTCAGTGCGTTTCCTGTAATGAGGCACCAATATCTATTTTGCCAGATATGCAGCCCCAAAATTCCACTGGGGGTAAGACTATTTATTCTAAAGTGTGGACTACAAAATAAAAATGAAAAATCTATTTAATATATTTATACTGACAATTTAATATATGTATTATTTTTAAAGACCCTAAAATATGAGCACTCAAAACTGGTGTAAAATGGTTTTAAAAGTTTCAATGGCTTTACTTTTTCCAGTGAGACTGAAAATTTGCTGCAGTATACACTGTGGGAAGATACAACATTTACAATGAGAGTGAGTGCAACCAGGGACCTTATGCTTGTCAGTTTCTCCTATTTCTTTCAAGTCTGCTTTTGGATTCCTCAATAATGTTGCATGCTAACATAATTTCCCACTGCTTGGAAACAACATATACTCAGAAATCCCTCATTTTAATTAAAAGACTCTTACTGAACTAAGAGGTCTTGTCAGGACGATCTTTTTCACTTTATGTCAACTGCCTGTTCTCACTACAGATTAATTACAGATAAAATGATTTGGGGGATTTGTGAGAGGCTGTTTTTCATCTTTGTTAATATTGTTCTTTCTTTTTTACTATTTAAAAACAGCAAATACACTGGCTATGAAAGAACATTAGGTACCATCCAATAGGTTTGATCTATTATTGAGTATTTTTACAGAATTCCTACCACTTGTGAGATTAAGATGACATTTTTCTGTAAGGTGATTATTCTTTATGCAAAGGAACACTATCAAGAAAATGAAAACCAAATGAGAGCAACAAGAGAAAGACTCTTCCTTTTGGATTAGTTACTTCAGACATACACAAACAAAACACATCCAGGCAACCAGATAAGTATTAAAAACACCAATGGTGTTTTATCCAAATTGGATTAGAAGCCACTTAGGAAAGGTGTTATAGGAACGTACAAATGAATCCAAGGAAGGTTGGTGAATTTTCAGTGATAACGGAAGTAGATGTTGATCCTTGATCCCTGGAATATATGGTACGTCATGACCCTCACATATAAAGAAATCGCTCTACCCCATGGATGTTGTCAATTATCAGAGGTCGCTCTATGGAATGCCTGCCCTGACTGTCAGGGGTCCAGCCAGATTCTTACAATCCCCACATAATGTGTGGAGAACTTCACTCTAAATGATGGGGCCAGTGAGAACAGAACATCTCTGCTGTCATCCCTGGAAACTGTCACTCCAGCAAGCCTTTACTTATCTTTCCTGTGTCACTCTGTATTTTCCCTTTCATGACTCATCCTTCCAATTTTCTGTTACATCTCTTTCCACTATGCCCTCTAGAGTCCGACTATGCCAAAAGCAGGAACAAAGAAAGAAAAAATTCTCTTTAATTATTAAATTCCACACAAAATGCTGTATCTTGGCTGTATTAGTCTGTTTTCATATTGCTATGAAGAAATACACGAGACTGGGTAATTTATAAAGAAAATAGGTTTAACTGGCTCACACTTCCACAGGCTGTAAATGAAGCATGAAGGTGGCATCTGCTCGGCTTCTGGGGAGGTCTCAGGAACCTTTCAATCATGGTGGAAGGTGAAGGGGAAGCAGGCACGTCTTCCATGGCTGGAGCAGGAGGAAGAAAGAGAGGGGGACATTGCTACATATTTGTAAACAACCAGAACTTGTGAAAACTCTATCACAAGAACAGCACTAGGGAAATGGTGCTAAAGCATTAGAAACCACCCCCATGATCCAATAACCTCCCACCAGCCCCCACCTCCAGCACTGGGGATTATGTTTCAACATGAGATTTGGGTGGGGACACAGAGTCAAACCTATCATTGGCCTTACCTTATTTCTGGGTTTTTCTCAAGTTCATAACTTCCCTTGAAACTATCCAATAATGTCTTCTAATTTTGAGTTAGAAGGTCGCAGGCGGTGGTCTATATTCTAAGTCTTTATTTCAAGCTCAGATTATTCTTCCCTCACCTTCTTAAGGGAAGAAAATAATTCAAAATTAAAGACAAGACCTTCTTTGAGTTTCATAATTTCTGGCTGTGCTTCCATCTCATCTCCTTACTGTGATGATAAACTTCCGGTTCGACATTTACCCCAGACTCTGGACTTTCCTTCTCTGGTTCCTGGATCCTGGCTACATTTCATCTTTGAATATTCCCACCTGCAGAGCCTGACAAACCACTTGCCTTCTCCAAATGTTCCACGCTTTCTTCAGCTTCCCTGCTTTTATGCCTCTTGCTCCTTCTTCTTTTGACTCTATGGGTCTCCTCCCGACTCACACCTTCTCTTGGTTAGTAACTTCTACTTTTCCCTCTTCTTCAAACTTTTCCTTGGAATGATTGTCCTTCTTCTGCCACTGTAGAACACTGCCAGTAAGATCACTGCTGGAGTGTTCTTACTGCTTGTTGATGCTCTTCACTAAACTGTGTTGCTCTTTGAGGGTTTAGTCTGTGCTATGTCTCTTTCTGCTGTATGTCAGAGCTACCATACAGTAGAGGTAAAATGCCTGTTTGCTGAGAGAATGAATAAGTGAACAAAGGAGGCCTTTGATAATTTAGGCAACTCATTATCTAGGTGTGGAAGGTGTGGAAGTTACTGGTCCCTCCCCAGCCATTACACAACAGTAGATGTCAATGACTCCCAAAATCTGCTTAATGAAGATTCCCATGCTTTTCCTAACTCACTCAAATTTCTCTTTAATTCAACAGTTATTCCTCTTGACTTCTGGCTTGGCATTTAGGGTTCCTTTCAATTGTAAATCCAAACAAGTACAATAAGGTCAATAGGCAAAGAAAGAGGCAATTATGCTAGTAATAACATGCCCAAGACTACATCTCAGCTTGAGCTTTGGCAAAGTAAGCCTTAGGCCATGGTGTGGTTGGTTTCTACTTCTCTGCTTCTAAACTTCCTTCTTCAAATCATTAATTTTATCAGAACTTTTTGGCACATGGATCAGAAGAAACAAGTCTCCAAAAGGACTGAGTGAAAAGACCAAATGGGAATCGTATATCTTGGGATTTCTTGTCATATTATATTGTATCCTGAATTAGAGTCATGGCTAAACATATATTTTCATACACACACACACACACACACACTCACACATGACTAATATATTCATTGACAGGTGTATAGATGCTAAATACATGTCTTGAAGTTGGGATCACAGAAATTCAGTTTAATGGAATTAGTTATCATAGCACTGATTGATATTGGGACAGGAAAAAAGAAAACAATCTTCAGTATCACTTAGAAATATATGTGTGTGTATATATATATATATATATCAAGGTTGTGAGTACAACTATTTAAATATCTTGTCTAATTTTTCTGTAATTTTCCTGATGAACTTTGCAGTAAGATGGAACTTTAAATTGATGGGTTATACTTCCTTAGTGTTTTCTTGCTGTTTCAGAAAGATGTTTTGGTTTCATCTCTTGACCTTTGAGAGATTCCAAGAATAGCCATTGTTTTTAATGCTGCATGACTAAGGGCAAATCCTAGTGGATGAAACATCCTGGTTCTCATGAGCCTCTGAGACTTTTACATTCCTATATTTGTTCTAATCTTTTTGCAAGTGATTTTAGTTTGTCTAATTTTGAGGATGACTTGAAAATCATAACAGGAATTTTTATTATATTCTATTCTGTTTTAATTGTACCTGGTTTCCTTAAAGTAAACTTTACAAAAGGCAAGGATACACAGAAACTTGCAGAAAGTTCCATGTTAATGAGAAGCAACATGAAAACCTCTCCACACTATATTTAACAATCTAAATTAATTTTTTTTCAAATACTCTGTATACATATGGATGTCTTTTTTGGTTGGGTATGAGTTTATATAAAACAGAAGTATAAATACACTGTGAGCTTCACCCATGTGTTATGTCTACTATCTGATCTCAAATTTTCAAGAGGCGATAAGAAATTTGCTCAGGGAACAAGACATTTTGTGTTATTGTGCATTGATCTTTCTGCCTAAAATGTAATTTCTATTTAGATAAAGTCATAATATGATTTTAAGCTTACATCAGTTAGTTTGAAAGCAGCAGAGAATGTCTCTGGCCAATTGTAACCAATAGACATGTATTGAAATTGGAATGACATGTAGGGATCACAGCACTGTTAGGAGCCTAGAGAACTAGGATGAGTAGGCATCAAGCCGCAAACTACAAAAAATTTCAGTGAAAATTCTGAATACATTAAAATTAGAAATGTCTACAAAAACGTTACTTTTAAGAAGTAGAAAAAATGTTTGGATTCAGAAGCAAATATATCAAGTTATCATAATTGAAAATAAATTATTAAGAATATATTAAGAATTTTAAAAATCAGTAAGTACAAAATACTCAATAACTAAGTATAGAAAGGAAATGAGCAGGTAGTTGGCAGAAGAAGAAAACCAAATGTTTAATAAAAATAATATGTTCAACTCCATTGGAAAGAAAGAAAATGAAAATGAAAATGAGATTTTATTTCAGGCCCATCAACTTGAACAAGATGACAGAGCCTGAAAATGCTGTGTTGTTGAGGGTCTGGAATAAGGGTACCACTTGTTCGCTGCTGGTGGTACTTTGAACTTGTGAACAATCTTGTAGAGTGTCCTGGTGATAGCTGGTAAAGCTGCAGAAACTTTCACCACATGGTACTCTGTTTCTACCTCTAGATGTGTACTTTAAAGCGTCTCTTGCACATATTTGTGTGGCAATATGCATAAGAATGGAATAGAGACGAGATCGGGCGTGTTTATAGCACTAAATGCCCACAAGAGAAAGCAGGAAAGATCTCAAATTGACACTCTAACATCACAATTAAAAGAACTAGAGAAGCAAGAGCAAACACATTCAAAAGCTAGCAGAAGGCAAGAAATAACTAAGATCAGAGCAGAACTGAAGGAGATAGAGACACAAAAAACCCTCCAAAAAATCAATGAATCCAGGAGTTGGTTTTTTGAAAAGATCAACAAAATTGACAGACCGCTAGCAAGACTAATAAAGAAGAAAAGAGAGAAGAATCAAATAGATGCAATAAAAAATGATAAAGGGGATATCACCACCGACCCCACAGAAATACAAACTACCATCAGAGAATACTATAAACACCTCTATGCAAATAAACTAGAAAATCTAGAAGAAATGGATAATTTCCTGGACACTTACACTCTTCCAAGACTAAACCAGGAAGAAGTTGAATCCCTGAATAGACCAATAGCAGGCTCTGAAATTGAGGCAATAATTAATAGCCTACCAACCAAAAAAAGTCCAGGACCAGACGGATTCACAGCTGAATTCTACCAGAGGTACAAGGAGGAGTTGGTACCATTCCTTCTGAAACTATTCCAATCAATAGAAAAAGAGGGAATCCTCCCTAACTCATTTTATGAGGCCAACATCATCCTGATACCAAAGCCTGGCAGAGACACAAGAAAAAAAGAGAATTTTAGACCAATATCCCTGATGAACATCGATGCAAAAATCCTCAATAAAATACTGGCAAACCGGATTCAGCAGCACATCAAAAAGCTTATCCACCATGATCAAGTGGGCTTCATCCCTGGGATGCAAGGCTGGTTCAACATTCGCAAATCAATAAACATAATCTAGCATATAAACAGAACCAAAGACAAGAACCACATGATTATCTCAATAGATGCAGAAAAGGCTTTTGACAAAATTCAACAGCCCTTCATGCTAAAAACGCTCAATAAATTCGGTATTGATGGAACGTACCTCAAAATAATAAGAACTATTTATGACAAACCCACAGCCAATATCATACTGAATGGGCAAAAACTGGAAAAATTCCCTTTGAAAACTGGCAAAAGACAGGGATGCCCTCTCTCACCACTCCTATTCAACATAGTGTTGGAAGTTCTGGCTAGGGAAATCAGGCAAGAGAAAGAAATCACGGGTATTCAGTTAGGAAAAGAAGAAGTCAAACTGTCCCTCTTTGCAGATGACATGATTGTATATTTAGAAAACCCCATTGTCTCAGCCCAAAATCTCCTTAAGCTGATAAGCAACTTCAGCAAAGTCTCAGGATACAAAATTAATGTGCAAAAATCACAAGCATTCTTATATACCAGTAACAGACAAACAGAGAGCCAAATCATGAATGAACTTCCATTCACAATTGCTTCAAAGAGAATAAAATACCTAGGAATCCAACTTACAAGGGATGTAAAGGACCTCTTCAAGGAGAGCTACAAACCACTGCTCAGTGAAATAAAAGAGGACACAAACAAATGGAAGAACATACCATGCTCATGGATAGGAAGAATCAATATCGTGAAAATGGCCATACTGCCCAAGGTTATTTATAGATTCAATGCCATCCCCATCAAGCTACCAATGAGTTTCTTCACAGAATTGGAAAAACTGCTTTAAAGTTCATATGGAACCAAAAAAGAACCCGCATCTCCAAGACAATCCTAAGTCAAAAGAACAAAGCTGGAGGCATCACACTACCTGACTTCAAACTATATTACAAGGCTACAGTAACCAAAACAGCATGGTACTGGTACCAAAACAGAGATATAGACCAATGGAACAGAACAGAGTCCTCAGAAATAATACCACACATCTACAGCCATCGGATCTTTGACAAACCTGAGAGAAACAAGAAATGGGGAAAGGATTCCCTATTTAATAAATGGTGCTGGGAAAATTGGCTAGCCATAAGTAGAAAGCTGAAACTGGATCCTTTCCTTACTCTTTATATGAAAATTAATTCAAGATGGATTAGAGACTTAAATGTTAGACCTAATACCATAAAAACCCTAGAGGAAAACCTAGGTAGTACCATTCAGGACAGAGGCATGGGCAAAGACTTCATGTCTAAAACACCAAAAGCAACGGCAACAAAAGCCAAAATTGACAAATGGGATCTAATTAAACTAAAGAGCTTCTGCACAGCAAAAGAAACTACCATCAGAGTGAACAGGCAACCTACAGAATGGGAGAAAATTTTTGCAAT